ATTGACAATTCTGCCCTTGACATTAAGCAATGATATTTTCAATTATTCTTATTTGGAACAAGATTCAAAATGCATGGTCAAATGTGCCACAATTAAAAAGTCAATGACTAAAGTGACGCGATCCCCAAACTATAAGGACTGTTAGCGTAATTTGCCATTTTTAAAATTTTATTTTTTTATAAATATTTTACTTTTTAGATTCATCTAAGTAAGGTGAATATAAAAAAGTAAAAAAAATTACTTAAAATTTTAAAAATATTCACTAAAAACAAACAAAAAAACTTAATTTTCAAAAAATTGAATCTAAAAATTGAAACCAAGCTGATTGGTACACAAATTTTATTATTAATAATGGAGATTCCCATTTTCATTTTCATTCTCATTTAAGATTTTTATCTTTCAAACATAATCTTAAGAGATAAATTATTTGTAACTAAAGTCTCGTTTGACAATTACATGTTTTAGTCAAAAAGTCACTATAAGTTATCACATTACTTTCTCTATTTTTCTGTACATTTTTTCGTAAAAAATTAAAAAATTACTAAAATAATTTGTTCCCGAACGAGACTTTAAGTCATTAAAATTTAAAATTTTATTTCCCTACCATACGTTTATTTAGGGGGATGTCAAAAATAACTTTTTTATGAAAGCAAGCCCATTGGCTTAGTGAATAAGGTGGGTGTTCATACCCCTTGCACCCTCTCCAGCGTTTATTTGTTTGAAATTCTTTATAAAAAAATCACTTTCATAAAAGTAAAAAATTTCTCATTTCATTTTCACACGTCTCACTCTAAATATATAGAAATATATAACTAAAAAAAATTCGATCTCCAATCAAGTCAAAAACTCTAGCACATCACCAAGAAATCTAATTCGGTAGTGTGAAATGGACCTAACCCTAGTCATTAAGCAATTTTTCTTATTTTTTCTCATATTTTCTTATGTTTGGTTTGAGTGATAAGCAACTAATATATCAGTAAAATTTATATTTTACGACTATTTCTTTGTGTCTGTTTAGAAAAATACATTCAAGATTTCAAAATCAATAGGAAAACAAATTGCAATTTGGACTAATACATTTATAAACCCTGATTGAATCATAAGTTTACAAAAATGATTGTGTGATCATTACTGAATAACCATATTCAAGAGAACAAATGTGTGTTGGGACGACGAAAACAAATAAGCCTCCACCATCCAGCCAATCCAAAACAAGTAGCTGAGGCGTGGAGTTATGTAATTAGATTTCAATAATAATTAATTAAATTACAACTATGTTAAATTTTTCACCAAGGGGATGTAGCTCAGATGGTAGAGTGCTAGCCGGTTTACATTGAAAGTTTCATATTTACAAAAATGAAATAGAGATGGAAATTTGTACTTTATTATTATTATTATTTTTTTAACATTGAAAATTCAAACACATCCATTTAGGAGGCGGGTCCCTTCCAGTTGCGAATTGGTGGTGTTAACATACATATTAATATATTACATATTAATATATTACTCTCATAGTATAGTTTGTATATATTACTATAATATATTAATATGTTAGTATGTATATAATATGTATAGGTATATTTTAATATTTACCTTTCGGCTGCTGCTTTCGGCCGATTCCTCTTTCGGCTCCTTTTCTTTATTTTAATGCAACACATCATAATGATGTTTGTAAATCAGCTCCTATATTATAGAGCTTCGAATTGGTTTCTCATTACAGAATGAATAACAGATAATTCTCTGTCAATATCACTCTCTCAACTCTCTTTCAATTTATTTCACATGGTATCAGAGCACAGGTGTTTCTCCTAAGCCTCTGCATCACACTTTCTTCTCTTGGCAGATTACTGCATACCTCGTCCTTACCCAATACACAGATTTGACAACACCAAAACCTTCGTCTCTTCACGACGAAGCCAACGCCGCCAGATTCATCATCATCTGAGGTCACACGCGCCTCCACGCGCCACCATAACATTAGCCCACGCGCTGCCTCGCTTCAGACGCGCTCTACGCGCCTCCTACACTGACCAGTGCTATTCTGCGCCGCTGCCTCATCTGCTAACGTGAGCCGCGCCTTTCTGACGTCAGCCGACGTCAGCCCTTCTGCTTCCGTGCGCCGTGTGTCTTCGTCTGCTAACCTGCGCCGCGCCAATCTATGCTAACCTGCGCCGCGCAGTTTGACCAGCCGTTGACTATTTGATTTTCTGCCTTTCTGGTCATATTTTTGGTCAGTTCACTCCTTTTCTGACTAATTTTGACCATCTGAATTCACTGGTAACCTCAGATTTTTCAGATTCTACCTCAATTGTGCCATTTTTCTCTCATGGATCGCCTGGACTCCTCTAATCACCCTATTTCCGTTATTCTTGACGGGACTAATTATGTCCTATGGGCACAAGCTATGTCTGGCTTTCTCAGAGGAAAGAAACTTTGGCGCATCATCACTGGGGATGTACGCAAACCCGTTCAAGAGACCACGGATTCCGCTGCCACAGACTCCGCCACCAAATATGTCGACCGATTGGAAGATTGGGATAGTAAAAACTATCAGATCATCACTTGGTTTCGCAATACTTCCATTACATCTATCAGCCTCCAGTTTGGTCGGTTCCAACTTGACTCTGCTTCCTCTCCTGCCAAAGCCATCTGGGATTTTTTACAAGAACGCTATCAGACTACTGGCCTTGCTCACCAATATCAGCTTCTGAGTCATCTTCACCGTATGCGCCAAGAAACAACTCAGAACATTAATGATTTCCTCTCCCAAATGTATTATGTTTGGGATCAGCTCGCTCTTTCTGAACCTCCATGGGATTGTACTACGGATGCTGCCTTGTTTACTACTTACCGTGACCAACAGCGCTTGGTTCAGTTTCTCATGGCTCTCACTCCCCGATTTGAGCCAGTCCGAGCATCTCTCCTTCATCGCACTCCTTTACCCACTCTTGAGCAAGCAATTTCTGAACTCCTGTCAGAGGAAACCAGATTTGGTACTCTCCATCCGCACCCTGTGGACTCTGTTCTTGCCACTCCTCAGATTCGAAGTTCTCCTTCCCCTCATAATACATTAATTGTTTTGACATATTATACACAAACTTCCTTGCAGAATTAATATGGTGTGAAGGTATAAGAATAAATTAAAAATATATATATTTCAGTATAAAAAAGATGATTATCTCATTTTACATCTTTATAATAATGAAAAAGACGCGAAGTGTTATGTCTATTTTTACTCCTCTCTCTTCTCCTCCTCATGTTCCTTCTATCCATACTGCTGATGGGTCTCTTTTGTCTGTAAGTCATGTTGGTTCTGTTTCAACCTCTCACTTATCTTTATTCCATGTCTATCTTATGCCTGCTCTTACTTTAAATCTTATCTCCATTAGTCAATTATGTGAGCATGGTCTAACTGTTACCTTTTCCCGTACTGGTTATTTGGTGCAGGACCCTCGGACGGGGCAAACTCTTGGGATAGGCCGTAAGCATGGACGTCTCTACGAACTCATCCATCTTCATGTTCCCGATTCCTCTCAGATCACAGCTCCTACCACTGCTACCACTGCTCATCTTTTATCTCCTTTTCAGCTTTAGCATTATCGTTTAGGCCATCTTTCTGTTGGTCGTTTAAAATCTTTAATTTCCAGTGGTCATTTAGGTCATGTAAGTTCTGATGTTTTAGATTGTGTGTCCTGTCAACTTGCCAAACAACCTGCCTTGTCATTTAATAAATGTAACAACCCTCATACTTTTACCGATTAAAGACTGATTGATTACCGATAAATTTCCAGTGGTCATTTAGGTCATGTAAGTTCTGATGTTTTAGATTGTGTGTCCTGTCAACTTGCCAAACAACCTGCTTTGTCGTTTAATAAAAGTGACTCTGTTTCTCTTGCACCATTTGATCTCATTCATTCTGATATTTGGGGACTTTCTCCTACTCCTACTATGGGAGGCGCATGCTATTTTGTTGTTTTTATAGATGATTTTTCCCGTTTTACCTGGTTGTTTCTTATGAAAAATCGCTCTGAGCTCAAACAACTTTATTACAATACAGATGACGGTAGACTTGATCTTTAGATTAGGTTTCATTATCCTGGAGGCGAATTTGTTGTAACCCCCTGCACGCCTTTTGGTGGGTGCAAATATTATCTTTAAGAAAGCAACTAACATAATTTGAAGCCTCATATTTTTGTTCTACATAGACAAGTTCATCGCCAAGTTTTGAAGACTCGAAGACCACCAACCAAAGAATTCAAGACGAATTGTTCCAACAATCCATGGATGTGGCTGTCCATATTCATGAGGGAATTTCTAATGGTTGAAGGAGATCTGCAGGATAGACATTTTCAGCTTTGTTCCTTTGGCATGGATCACATTCCTTGATGTAATTCTTAATCTCTTTTTTCATCCCGGGCCAGTAAAAATCTGTTTTCATGGAGTAATTCACTCTTTGATAGGTTTTGTTGAAACTAGCATGTCCTCTTATTGGACTATCATGGAGTTATGCAAGAACTCGGCTTCGAAATGAGGATAGAGGAGAAAGGTAGAAACGCCCTTTGTAGAACAGAATGCCTCTTGCTTTAATAAACTCGATAGAATCCATCTTCCTGTCCTTGAGTTGGGAAACTATGTGTTGGACCTGAGCATCAATAGCATGCTCTCTTTATAATTCTTTTACCCACGTTATCCGGCAGACTAATTATATTAATTTCTCATGTTCATAATCTTTTATTTGAATTTTCCCCGAATTATCAATAGTGTTGTTTGTTGCTGTGGTTTTATGAGAGAAAAAATGAAATGATTATGGTTTGGATGTGATATTTTGTCTTATTGGACTAAAAAACCTATTTTGTCTTTTTGGAACTAAAATAATCTAAAAGCCAAAAAGCCTGACGTGCCAAATGAAAGCTTAAAATATGCGCAATTCAAACTTGTTTACTTAAAAATTTATTCTCAAATGAACTTTTAATAAGTTGAGCCTAAGTAGTTTGGTAGTTTGGTTCGTTACTACAGAGGCAATTTGATTGATTTTGTGGTGCAGGAAAATTTGCACTATGGATGCTGCCACAATTATTTGCATATGCATTGAACTTTCCAATACAGAAATTCTTGCAAGCGCAGAGGAAAATGATAGTAATGGCATGTGTATCAGCAATAGTGCTAGTCCTACATGTTTTTTTTAGTTGGCTCCTAATGCTGAAGCTTGGATGGGGTTTGATTGGTGCTGCTGTCACTCTCAATACCTCATGGTGGCTCATTGTATTTGGACAATTGCTCTACATTTTCATCACCAAATCAGATGGTGCTTGGAGTGGATTCACTTGGCTTGCTTTTGTTGACTTGTGGGGCTTTATCAAGCTTTCTTTAGCTTCTGCTGTTATGTTATGGTATGTTTGTACCCTTTTGTCATTGTCAAATTATTGCACATTTTCATTAATCCATCACCAAATCAATTTAAATAATACAACCAAATACTTATTTTTTGACTTACACTAAATTAGACAATTAACAACCTACAACCAAACACCCATCCTTTTCTTTACCTTTCATTTCAAAACAGCAAAAAAAATGAGTGTTTGGTTGTTTGGTTTAAATCGTTCACATTTTAAAATGACATTTTTACCCATTGAACTATGCTTTGACTTTTGGACAACGCCCTCCAATTAGACCACATTAGCTGAAATTACAAAATTCTAGACACTAAAAAGATGAAACTGATAATTTGAGGATGAAATAAAAAAAGTGACGATACTTCAAAGGGATAAAAACGAAATTAACCCTTTAAATTTATATGGTTTTATGGCATTTTTTGAATTTTATTACATGTGAATATGAATTTATTGGGTGAATTGATGTGCAGTTTGGAGTTCTGGTACTTGATGGTACTGGTGGTGATAACTGGCCGTCTGCCAAATCCTTTGATACCAGTTGATGCCATCTCTATCTGGTATGATACTTCATCAGTATTCATTCCTTCTAAGCTCAAGCTCTTAAGTTTTGAAATTAAACAGTTGACATAAAAATATATATACATATATACGTTCAGATTTATATCACTTCCCACCAATGTAAAGGAAGCACAACCACGCACACACCAAAGAGAAACAATCACACAGATTTACGTGATTTACCCCAAATTGTCTTTATCCACGGAAGAAAGAGAGAGCTTCCACTATGAATAAAATAAAGAATACATGTGAGATGACCAAAACACTCAAAACCCACGCCACTACCCGAACCCGATGCTCCATGAGTAATTGAGCCCTTGCTTACCCAGTGCCTCTCTCAATCTCTCTCACAAAGAAACCGTATAGTCCACACAGATTATTTATAATACTCTACCAATGAGAATCTTAGTTCCATACAATTAGGTAACCCTATGCTATGTATATTAAGTTTTGTAGTAGATTCTGAACTCTACTATCCTAATTCAAATACATATGTATAAACCAACCTAATAATTATATGGAACCTACCTTTATCACATGTGGATTAATCCTAACAATATATACAAATGAGGACCCAAATATTTTATGGGAAAAAGTAGTCCTTTAAGACCAATTTCCTATTTATAGCAATGACCTCAATCTAGACTACAAATACTGCTCTTCATTGTTGTGGAAAACAAATTGGAATATTCCATTTGAAGGGATTTTATAACATGGATCCTTTGTATGTAAGAAAAAAAAAAGTCATAATTTGGTTGGAAATTTTTGTGCAGCATGAATATTCAAGGATGGGATGCCATGATTGCAATTGGGTTTAATGCTGCCATAAGGTGATCTTCCCTGCTTAACTTATCCTTACTTATCAAAGACATATGCTAAGAATTAACTTCTTCTAAAAACATTCCTAATTGCATCCTTTGGTGGCTGAGTAGAGAAAGGAGGTTGAAAAAAAAAAGAGTTTTGCAATATTTTTTTCCAAAACAAACGGAGATTACAAAATTGCTTTCTTTGTCGATGTAGTCTCAACAATCAAAATGAGGATATATGAAGTACTTATGGTGGATTTTTTTTACAGTGTGAGAGTATCAAATGAACTTGGATCTGGTAATGCAAGAGCAGCAAAATTTGCAGTGATAGTGGTGTCTGTGACATCGGTGTCCATAGGAGTGGTTTGCATGGCCATTGTGTTTGCAACTAGAGATTATTTCCCATACCTTTTCACAAATAGCACTGCAGTTGCTGAAGAAACTACCAAGCTTGCCACCTTGCTCGGAGTCACTGTTCTTTTAAACAGTCTTCAACCGGTCTTATCTGGTATGTACATACACAACATGGCTACACTTCAAGGTTCTAAATCGCGGTATCGGGTAACGTAACGGTATCGATCGCGGAGTATCGGTATCGGTAGTATCGATCGGTACGTATCGGGAATCGGGTGTCGCGGTGGTGAAATTTTAAAAATCATTTCAAAGGTTTTTCAACTTTTTCTTTCCCGTACCGGTCTGAACCGGTGAGTATCGGCCTGTCGCGGCTTGTGTAACGGCTTGTGTAACGCTTACAGGCCGATACGTACCGGGACTCGGCCGATACTCGTGCGATTTTTAATCTCAGTGGTATATCGACTTTGCTCGTCTCACCTCTGTTCGCAGCCTGATTGCGGTTGCTACCTCCCGACACTGGGATCTTTATCAAATGGATGTAAAAAATGCCTTTCTTAATGGTGTTCTTCTTGAGGAGGTCTACATGCAACCTCCCCCTGGGTCTACTTATCCACCACATAAAGTCTGCAAACTTCAGCGTGCTTTATATGGTCTCAAACAAGCTCCGCGCGCTTGGTTTGCCAAGTTCAGCTCTACTATTCATGACTGTGGTTTCACCTCCAGTTCTTATGATACTGCTCTTTTTATCCGGACCACTGCTCAAGGGACCACCTTGCTTCTTCTTTATGTGGATGATATGATTATCACCGGTGACGATCTTGATGGTATTCTATGCCTTAAACAGTTTCTTAGTCATCATTTCGAGATGAAAGATCTTGGTCCTCTCAGCTATTTCTTGGGTCTTGAAATCTTCCATGATTCCACGGGGTCTTTTCTCTCTCAGGTTAAGTATACCTCTGATCTTCTCACCCGCGCTGGTCTTACGGATTGCAAGACTGCCTCCACTCCCCTGGAGCCTCAGAGTCGTCTTACACCTCTTGATAGCACTCTTCTCTTTGATGCTACCCTATATCGTCAGCTGGTTGGCAGCCTTGTCTATCTCACTGTTACTCGTCCTGATATTGCCTATGCCGTTCATATTGTCAGCCAGTTTATGTCAGCTCCTCGTACCTCTCACTATGCTGCATTAGTCCGTATCCTTCGCTATCTCAAAGGTACCTTGTTTCATGGACTTCATTATTCTGCCCGCTCCTCTCTCCAGCTTCGAGCTTTTTCAGATGCTGATTGGGCTGGGGATTCTACTGACCGGCGCTCTACTACCGGGTTCTGCTTTTTCTTTGGTGATTCTCTTATTTCTTGGCGCAGCAAGAAACAAACTCTTACTGCTCGCTCCAGTACCGAAGCTGAATATCGTGCTCTTGCTGATACTACTCAGGAGCTTCTCTAGCTTCGTTGGCTTCTTGCTGACATGGGTGTTTCTCCCTCTGGCGCTACTGCCCTCTTTTGTGACAATCACAGTGCTCTTCAAATAGCTCACAATGATGTTTTTCATGATCGCACCAAGCACATTGAGATTGACTGTCATTTTATTCGTCAACACGTCACTCGGGGTACTGTTCATCTCCATCCAATCTCCTCTACTGATCAACCTGCTGATATCTTCACCAAAGCCCATTCTCCTGGCCGCTTCATTGACCTTGTCTCCAAACTCCAGTTGGTTGATGTTTGCCCTCCTTGAGTTTGCGGGGGGCTGTTAACATACATATTAATATATTACATATTAATATATTACTCTCATGGTATAGTTTGTACATATTAATATATTACTCTCATGGTATAGTTTGTATATATTACTATAATATATTAATATGTTAGTATGTATATAATATGTATAGGTATATTTTAATATTTACCTTTCGGCTGCTGCTTTCGGCCGATTCCTCTTTCAGCTCCTTTTCTTTATTTTAATGCAACACATCATAATGATGTTTGTAAATCAGCTCCTATATTATAGAGCTTCGAATTGGTTTCTCATTACAGAATGAATAACAGATAATTCTCTGTCAATATCACTCTCTCAACTCTCTTTCAATTTATTTCACAGGTGGCGTTCCGGTCCGTGGGTCAAGGTTCCGTTTCGACAATCCAAACTGTTTATTTTGTTAAATATTTTATGTATTTTTTTACCAAAAAAAATTAGATTAATCTAATAATTGTAACTAATTTTTGTCATTAAAAAAAATGTATGTTTTTTTTTTTTTAATTTATGACAAATATAACAAATTGAATTAGTTACAATTATCGGCTATTTTTTGTACGGATGAAATATATGAAATGCCCAATAAAATGAATGATTTAGATCATCGATATAGAGCCCGTGGTGGATCTCATGGTCTGGAACAACGCTCCCCAATCTAGATTTTGGAGTGGAGAGGATCCTCCTCCTAAATTTATTAGATAATGATGTCTCTAATCTCCTCGAAAATATATAAACGGAGGGGACTTGGAGATCGTATACCTTTTAAGAGCATCTCCAACGGTAATAGGCATTTTACATATCTAAATATTACTATAAAGTATACATTTTATTTTGCCTATTAACTGTTTCATGTTTCTGCTCCAACCATGCTCTTTATTTTAGCTATTCGTCCAAATACTATTAATTTTATAAAATGCCACATCAGCAACAAAGATGGAGGGAAATAATCCTAATGATTAAATACATTTTGCCTAGCCTTAAAGGCTAGCTACATGTAGCTAGTGAATTTGAGTTGAGCTAAAATGCCTAATCGCATGCCTAGTGCATTGGAGTTGAAAAAAGTGAGTCATACTAAGCATTTTAACTAACAAGCATTATATGCCTAGTGCGTTGGAGATGCTCTAAGAGGCTCATAAACAAAGGCTCTTTTAACATTGAATCTCAAAATTGACACTTCCCTTTCAAGTAATTGAAACAAACATATATCGCTTCTGGTTTGGAATTGTTTTCGTTTTCAATGTTATAGTTTTTTTCAAGTTTTTGGAAATAAAACTAATGAAAAACTTAAAAGAACCATTGTTTTCATATTATATGTGAGGGGAAAAAAAATTCAAAAACAGTTTATCAAACAAGTTTCATAATGATTTGAGTTTCTGGACTCTTCAAAATGTAGATTGTTCCATTGAAAGCTTGAAGTTTCTGAATACGGTGGTACTACATGTACCAATTAGTATACACATTAGTGTACCAACTAGTGTTATGCCATTATTATTGACCTCATTTATTATACAAATTACAAATACTCAAAACTTTTAAAATTATGCCACATCATCGGTTAGTATATTAGTTAGTACATTAATTAGTACACATAGCATTATTCTTCTGAATAGTATGTGATGCTTTACAGGAATTTGCCTGAATTGTGCCATAATGAAAACAAAATAACAAAAAAAAAAGCAAAAAAATATTTAATTACCCAGAAACTGAACCACTTTCCCATACTTTCTCAGCAGCCAAACACGTAAGACAAATTGGATCAGTCTGAATTCTTAATATCTCTCAATGCATGACAGATAAGTAGAAATCCATAAGCATAGAAAGCAGTGGCATAGACCAGCCCAGTGAGAGCAGCAATTGTACCCATCGACTTCATAGACTCAAACACAGGGCTGAAAAGAAGCATGGTGGCGAAAACCGAAGTGGCAAACTTCAAGCCATCTTCCATAATACAGTCCTTTGTCCCAGGCACCCAATTGAGAGTCAAGAGTTCGGAAACACCACAACAAGCTCAAATGGCTGACCATGTAAAAATAGTAGAAGAAGATTGTTGATAAGATCTTATAGAGATCAACATCTAGGTTGCCTCCGATGGCAATTTAGGCTAATGTGTGCAATAACAGAAGCATGGAAGCACAAGACAACACAAAGTATTTCATTCCCACTCCTCATCTCTTGAACTAATTGAAGATAATGAAACACAATATATAGTTGGGTTCAGAAGTGAAATTGGTGGTGTTGGGTTTTTGTGCTTGAGGAAATGTGGCTTTCATGCACATTAATTTGAGATGTGCTCATATAAATGAAAAGGTATGAGGCCAATTTTATTGCCGTTCCTTTCACTCCAGGTTTATATAAAATAATGATAAATTTTATATTATGGTAATGAGATTACCCGATAAAGTTAGTGCGAGAAGTGAGGGTTTGTAGTAGTTAGCTGGCTCTGATACGAAGAAAAGAAACATGAGAGAAGTACAAACAAACAATGTCCATTTCCTACTTCTAGGAACAGATTTCAAAACCAGTTCTAGCTCCTGGCTTTTATTCTTGTTAGACAGAAAGAAAACTGTGTGTGTACACCATGAGAAAAGCTAGAAAACCAAAAAAAAATTAACCAAAATATTAATATGTGATGTGAATTCAATTATGTACAATGGGACCTCTTCAAATGAATCTCAACAAATGTTGTTTATGGATATTTTTCTAAATAAATTTATGAGTAACTAGCTAGCATTGAAGAATCAATCGATCCTAACTTTTTCCTTCCACCACTGTGCTCCGACTACAAGAAGCAATGATACAAATGTAATAGAGTTTCCTTGTTGCCTGTTGTATGTACGTTTCTTACTTGGGTAAGGGTAACGAAAGGCACCATTAATCACTTGGCCATTAAGATTACCCTACATTAGGCAACAATAGCCCTGAACACTTTTATACATTGCCCAAATCAAGCATATCCCTTGTCCTCTGACTCTCTTGATCAAAATTCGTTTGGGAAGTGGGTTGCCTCTTTGGTATTTGATTTTTTTGGTTATTTTAGTATGAGACTAAAAAGTCTCATTTGAAAATGACTTTTGACTTTTTTGACTTTTTGTGAGAGAAAGAATGTAATAATTATGGGTTCAATGTGATATTTTATTTTATTAGCTTAAAAAGTCAAATTTGGTTAGGGAAAAATTAAAATTTTATCTAAAATTTGATGATGTCAACAAATTTCATTCATTTGTTTAATGCCTGATTAACAACGTAGGTGGAAGTGTAATGTGATTATGATTTTAAGCTAGATCGATGTTATCTTTCAATACTAACTATAATTTAAGTAATAATAATAATAATTAGAAAAAGGGAATTCCATGTAATTTGTCCAAATAAAGGCTTACCTCTTTCCATATGGTTGTTTTAAGTTTAGTTTTTTTTTTTAATTTTTTAATCTATGTAATAAATAATAAATTGGAGATTGTGGCATAAAAGGGAGAAATTTTACATAAGCAAATATTTAACTTGCTAATAAGTAGTAATTATCTTATATTCTGAAAATTTCACTATGGCAGTATATTCAATCAATATTAAGGAATTATGTATTTATATAATAAATAAATAAAAAATTACAAATTACTATTAATTAAGTATATAATTTGTTTCTCAAAAACCAGATAATAAATTCTGATAGCGAGCATTTTTTATTTTTCAAATAAAATTGTTGCTCGTTTTTCTATGAAAAAAATTATAATATAATGCATTTAAAAAAAATTATAGTATTAATAAAAATTCTCGAGCATTTTTTTAAAAAAAGATTAAATTTGTTTCCCGTTTTTCTATGTAGCGTGAGTCAAGATTCGACGTCATTTGGACTGTCCGATCAATGACCCTGAAAATTCAAAATGGATTCAGCTTGTGTACAGTCCGATCTCAGATTGAACGGTGCTGTTAGGTCAGTGGAGGCCCACTATGAGTTTCTTTTTGATAATTTGAACTAATAAATATGTAAAAATCGTCGAGTATTATATCTCTATAAAAAATAACATTGATCGGATATCGATATCTATGGTGTCGTTTGGTAGCACTTACGTTTTCAATTTTTTGTTTATATTTACAAAAAATTAAAAAGTTCAAAAAAAAAACTTATTTGGTAAAATTTTTGATTCATAAATCAGTGGTCTCAGTTTATAAATTTGGCTAAAAAATGTGTTTTCATTTTGAGTTTTCAGTTTTTTTTTTTTTTTTACCACCTAACACTAGCCACCACCCGCCACCATTTTCCACCACTGTGTTCCGCCACCACCACCTACCACCCACTCCCCACCACCACCTGCCACCCACCTACCACCACCGGCCACCACCCGTCGCCGCTATCACCCACCGCCTACCTGTCACCCACTAGCCACCACCATCTCCAGGTTTATATAAAATAATGATAAATTTTATATTATGGTAATGAGATTACCCGATAAAGTTAGTGCGAGAAGTGAGGGTTTGTAGTAGTTAGCTGGCTCTGATACGAAGAAAAGAAACATGAGATAAGTACAAACAAACAATGTCCATTTCCTACTTCTAGGAACAGATTTCAAAACCAGTTCTAGCTCCTGGCTTTTATTCTTGTTAGACAGAAAGAAAACTGTGTGTACACCATGAGAAAAGCTAGAAAACCAAAAAAAATTAACCAAAATATTAATATGTGATGTGAATTCAATTATGTACAATGGGACCTCTTGAAATGAATCTCAACAAATGTTGTTTATGGATATTTTTCTAAATAAATTTATGAGTAACTAGCTAGCATTGAAGAATCAATCGATCCTAACTTTTTCCTTCCACCACTGTGCTCCGACTACAAGAAGCAATGATACAAATGTAATAGAGTTTCCTTGTTGCCTGTTGTATGTACGTTTCTTACTTGGGTAAGGGTAACGAAAGGCACCATTAATCACTTGGCCATTAAGATTACCCTACATTAGGCAACAATAGCCCTGAACACTTTTATACATTGCCCAAATCAAGCATATCCCTTGTCCTCTGACTCTCTTGATCAAAATTCGTTTGGGAAGTGGGTTGCCTCTTTGGTATTTGATTTTT